CCCATCATCATCTTCTGGATCTGATCCCACATATTTTTTCTCGGCTTCTTATAACTGTCTATGCTTGTGTATATATCATTGGTTAAGGCTTGAATCATGTATGACTTACAAACAACATCATCATGTGCTCTATCTTTCTCAGCTCGGCTATACCTAGATTTCTCTTTTGGCACTATTTTAGTAGGTCTATTTTGTTTAGGGATTGCAGGAATCTCCTTCCAAAACTTAGCGGGACCCTCCATTAAAGATTCCACAATCATTTCACCGTCTTTCTATCTTTCAATGAAATTTAGGAACCTGTCCCTCTATTGGCTATAATCTCCTCTAAACAAAACAAGTGGTTTTGTGTCAGTCCCTATTGCCATTGCTTCGATGTCATTTTTATCTGATTAAAAAAATTAGATCTCTTGCAGTTCAAAACTTAGAATTAAATCAAAATCGGACAACTAATAAAAAAAAGATTCACCAAATATATCAGACACTATATTCTTCAAAAATCACAAACTCTTAATCAGACACTTCTTCACACTTCACAAGAGTTATCCGGACAACTTGATCTCCGGATACAAAGGTATCGGACAAACACTTAATCGGTTACAACACTTCTCTGATTATAGCTTTCATCGGACACAAGGTTATCAATAAACTATTTCACCACATACCAAAAATACTTCACCGAATACTAAAAACAGTTTCACCAGACACAATGTTATACGATAAGGAAGCTTATAGATCAAAGAGTGACCGATTAGCAAGTTTCAAAAATACAAGTATCCAATTACAAGAGATGAATAATATCGCTTACCCAAGATGTGCGATGAATGTACCAATATCAGACAACACAATTCAATCAAAATCAAACATATTCAATGACCGATGAGTTAAGCTTATCGCTTGATGAATCAATTCATTGAGCGATGAGCATAAACTCGCACAAAAAGTTTAGATTTCAATCAAAAAATGCTAAATAATGAGTCAAAATGAATGAAACATATATTGATCTACTCGAAATCTTGCCAGAAACACAAATTCAATAACAATTTCAACCAAAAATCGATCAAACTAACTCAAATTGATAAGAACTTCAAAAATATAATCACGTTTTGAAAAACACAAAAATTCAAAGATTAACCAGAAGATCGATTCAATCATGAAAATCAAATGAACAGATTGTTTCCAAACTTGAATTCGCATACAATTCACTATATTTCTACGATTAAACAACAAAGAATCGAAGAATTTGTGTAGAATAGTGAAGAAATATTCAAGAACATCAAGAATAGTGATGGCCAAACCGGCCCGGCCCGGGACTGCCGGAGGACCGAGACCGGCCAAGGATCTGCCCGGCCCGAGACCGGTTATAGGACCGAAATCTGGGACCTGTTATGAATTTGGGGTGTTTCGAGGGACCGAGACCGACCGGGACCGGTTATGGACTAGACCGGCTCACCACGATTTTTAAAAAATGTAGCTATTTTTTTTAGAATGTAGCCGTTATTTTTCAAAAAACTAGCCATTTTTTGGCCTTTTTTTATATTTTTTGCTTTCTAAACACTATATATAAGTGTCTTGGTTGAGGGATTTACATACCAAGTTCTCGATTCGCAAAAAAAGCAAAAAAACGTTCACAATTATCAGTTTCTCGCTATATGTTGTAAGACAATGTAATTTTAATTATAATAAAGCGCATTTTTAAAGTGTATTTGAGTGACCCAATTACAAATTTTATAATGTATTAAAAATATATATCATTAAAAAAATAAAAATAAAAATAAAAAATATTTTTTAATGACCGGGACCGGCGGCCCATAACCGGTTACAATAAAGCTTGATCAGGCTCAACATTTTCGAATGGGACCGGGACCGGTTATGGCCGGTTGGGACTGGCTCGGGACCGGTTTTTGGCCATCACTAATCAAAAATATCAAGAACAGTCAAGAAACAATCTGAAATTCACAGTCCGAATTTCAGATTATGGGTTGATCAAATCCAAGTTATTGCAGTTTGCTCTGATACCAGTTGAAATTCCCAGTAATTCTTTAATCAGATGCACAAAGTAGAATGATAAGAATGATGAACACCAAGAGTGAATTTTCCAAATCTTAATTGTATTAATTCTTCAAAGTGATTAGAATGAAAATATTACTCTAATTACAAGTAATGAAAACTATTTATACCTACTAATTACAAAGACAAAATTACAAGGAGAAACAAGCTTGAATACTATCATTAAAGCACAAGCTTAAACCCAACATACATGTTCCATTTACTCTTTTCAAAGATCTTTTTAGTGAACCAATAATTTTCTTGAAATATCTTAAAAAATAAAATATTACAACTGGTTTTGATAGGCTTAAAACATAAAAGCCATACCCTGAAAGAAAAGATAAAAGATATACAAGGTTCTACAAGAGTGAAAGGTCTTCTAATCTACATTGTTGAAGTTGATGTTGTCAGGGACATCTTCTCCTTGAATCTTTCTTCTGAGTATTTCCTTTCAAATCTTTTAATCCATCACCTCTCCATAAAGATCTTCGTTCATCCAAGTTCAAAGATATTCTAAGTGAATTATTGGGCGGAGATGGAACTTAGACACTCACTGAAACCTTTACTGGCCATCACAGTCCATGAACATAAGTTCATATTCAGATTTCACATGCATTATATTGGGAATAAAGGGTCCCTTTTCAGGCAGTGATAGATTCAACATTGAGATATCTACCTTTTTTTATCCTTGAAGAGCTCATCCACTAAGAATTTTATATCATGCTCGTTCCTGTGGGATGAACCTTCTTCAGGATCAAAAAGGTTTCTTCTTCGAGAGGACTTTTGTGGCAGAAGATAAATCTTGACGATCTTCGACACTTTGTTGAATAATTCGTTCAGAACTTCTTTAATGAAAGCCTTGTGCTTGGATTTGGACTTCTGAATTGTCTGTCGAATCTCGAGCCATTCATAGAAACCATATAGGCTGATAAAGGAATGATACTCTGTGACAGCATCGTTATTCTCTCGGAATATGATCATAGAAACCAGAAGAGCACCATCTTTCATTCGTCCATTGATAGTGATGTTTGAGATTTTGTGAGGGCTCAATCTTGTTTCGATCCTTTCTCTGCACTAATTCAAATCTTTAGGGAGCGTTTGGTTCGTCGGAATCCGCCAGAATTTGATGGAATTGAAATGGTGAATTCCGTTGACCAAATTCCATTCTAATGTTTGGTTACCCTTGTAATGGAATTGATGGAATTGAAATCTATCATTTGAAGGATTTAACCATTCCTTAGGGGAAGTGATGGAATTAAAATCCATTTCATCCCAATTTATGTAAATGACAAAAATACCCTATTACATTGTTTTAACCGTAGCCGCTCCATTCTTCTTCCTCCCACTCTTCCGATCGAACACTACTTCCACTTCGATCTTCGATTGAACTGCTTCCACATTTTTTTCTCGATTGAACACTGCTTTCTTTGATTTTCTGCTACTTGTTTGTTCGATTTCTGCTTCACATTTATGATATATGCTGCTTCTTTCTTCGATTTTTGCTACCTGCTACTGTTTTACATTTATGCTACCTGCTATTGTTTGAAGGGTATTCCCATTTCTGATTTATGCTACCTACGTCTGTTTTTCATCGTGCTATTTCATAACTGTTTGTTATTGTTTTCATAATTGTATATAATGCTACTGTTTCTCAAATTGTGTTCGAAGGTTTGTTTCTCAAAGTCTTTGTGATGGTCTAACAATACAAAGTAGATGGTTATGCTGTTGTTCAATGCTACTATTTTCATATTGTATATAACCGTTGATTATAACCCCCAAAACAGAAGGCCCTGCTCTATGGTTATGTGGTTGTTCAATGCTACTAAAAAAATTAATTTTTTTAAAAAAATATCAAAGAAAGGGTATTTTTGTCTTTATTCATCATTCCATTCCAATTCTGTTGTAAACCAAACATACAGATTCCAATTCATCAGATAGATTCAATTACATTCCTGCCAACCAAACACTTGGTCAAACCTGATAACATTCCATTCCAATTCCTTCCATATTCCAATTCCTTTGATAGATTCCATTCCTTCAGAAATCATTCTGCGAACCAAATGCCCCTTTATTCTTCAGGACGATGAGTAGGTAGGGGTAGGTGGCGGGGTGGTAGCTATGACCTTGATAGTGGTGGGATAGTGGTCGGGTGGCTGGGGATTGGGAGTGGGTGGGTATGACGAAAACAATAGTGGCATCGTGTTTAGTGATGGGTTGGGTTGGGTAGGGTGGGGTGCGGGTAGGTGGGGGTTGTAAAGGGGCCAATAGTGGTGTGGGAATGAGTCTCAGATTAGGGGTAGGGTGCGCAGTAGGGCTGGGCTCCAAGGGCAGGGTGTGAGGTGAGGCAGGGCGGTGGGATGGGTGGCAACTATGATGACAAAAGTGGTAGGATGGTGGTCGAGTGGCTGCGAGTGGGTGGGTATGACGGCGACAGTAGTGGCATGGTGGTTAGTGGTGGGTTGGGGTAAGGTGGGGTGGGGGTGAGTAGCAGTTGTGACAACGCCAATTATGTTGTGGTGCTGGGGATTAGGTTAGGGGCGTGACGGTAACGGTAATAGCATGGTCGTAATAGGGATGTGAAGTGAGTGATCGGGGGTAGGTGAGTGTGATGATAACAGTAGTGCCATGGTGGTTAGTGGTGGGGTAGGGTGAGAGGGTGGGTAGGGGTGGGTGGCGGTAGTGAGGGTTTAGGTGTGAGCATGGCGAACAATAGTAGCATGATTGTGGTAAGTGGTGATGGAATTCAATTCCTTCCATTATGCCAAGGAATGATGAATTCATTAATTTGTGGAATGAACCAAATAAAGGAATTGGAATTTGGTCAAATGAATTTGTCATTTTAATTCCATCAAATTCTTTTGAATTTCGCAAACCAAACGGCCTGTAATGATTTATATTTCAAATACCCAGTATCTCAACACAAACATTCTTTAATGAGTTATGAGACCTAAAATGCACCCAACAAACCAATCATAAACATTTCCCAAATATTTATAACATTATTACACCATAAAGGCTTGAGATCCACAAGTACCTCGCTACCATAACCATCTCAAACCACAATTCAAAGCTAGAAATAACGAAATACAAACATAAGCATATTAGATCCAAGAAGATCTTTATACGAGAGCCTAAAATATTCAAGAAACTTACGTTCTCACAAATTTGAGATCTCCCAACCAAGAATATGCTAGAAACATGTAATTTGATTTACTATATATATGTCACATGATTGAAGCCAACTTCTATTGAAAACCTAAATAACTTGATAGAAATATATTGGCCTTATATTCGAACATAGTTTAGGCCAGACTTTTCATCAAGCCTCCTCGAGTAGAACTTCATCATGTAGTCCCGTACTGTGAATTCTCTAAACATTTGGGGACTTTCTTTTGTGATTATCTCCTTGATAGGCCCATAAATTTTTGGAGGTGTAGCCACACCATGATAAAAACATCCAACTGACGTTCTTGCTTGACTTCGATTGCCAAAGGCACGATGTATCACGCTTTTGAACTTGTCGTTTGATACAATCTGCAGACAATCAACAGGACGTCATTAGCACCCATTATTCGACTATATCCATCCTTTGTCTTTGTATTATATAAAAAAAGAACCTGAAGAAGATCTCCAATATTCACAACAAGAGAACAAGGAATAGGCTCGACTTGCGCCCATTGATTTCCGTGCAGAACTTCTAGGCCTCCAACCTGATTTTGTAGAAGTACAGTGATGAAAGAAGCATCYGTGTGCTTGCTGACTCCTAGGGTCTGTTCAGGCATAGGACATGCAGGGTAGTAGTGGCAAGCAATGGTTCGACCTTTCTCGCATTCAAGTTGTTTCAGGTGGTTTGTTTCGAGTCCAAGAGCTTCAGATAATAACTCAAAAAGGATATCCACCAATTTTGTGAGATGGTTAAGGTAATTGATGGTAGCATCTCTGCACATAAGATTACAAATTGGTTTATAATGATATTGTGGCCCGTTTTATGATTTCAATCATTATAATCATGACCTTTATTTGTTAAAACAATAATCAAGTGATAAGTACGATGATTCAAACTCCAAAAATCAGTTCAAATATGTACCTGCAAACCGATGGCAGATCTTCAGGATCAAGATGATATGAATTCAGCATATCAATGACCAAAGTATCCCTCCAATTCGCTGCTCGCGACATGTAAAAATCGTAATTTGTGTTGAACTTCACCATCCTCTCGGGATCCCTTGAATAATATTCCTTTTTCACCTCGACGTCAAGATCATTAAACTCACTCACCCCCTTCAGCATATCTTGAAGCACTTTCATGGGTATTCCATGATTAATCACCTGAAAAAATCCCCATCTTTCTGAAGCTTGTTTAATCTCTTCAACGATCTTTTCCCTTGTTGAACTTTGCTTATGATCAACCCCATTGAGATCTATAGCAGGAATACGTAAACTGGTTCGGGTAACTTCCAGATCTTCAGCGAGTTCATCAGGTGGTCGGATAAATATTTCAGGAATATCGACAGCCCCACCAGCTGCAGCATCAACCAATCCTTTGACACCAGATTTAGTGGCATCAAAAGCTTTTAACTGTTTGATACGATTATCTTGCGAATCTTTTGAGTTGTCCATTTGATCTATAATGAAAATAGAACGATGTTCTCTGATATTTGTGAAACGAGTAAGATTGAGACAAACTTCTTATCATATAAAAATGTCAACTTGTGGCGACTTGCACCACCAACTACATTTATGACTCTATTCCCAGCTTAATTTAATATCTTGGACTAAATTAATCTTCCTTAATAAATTAATTTATCTTAGGACCCGTTTACCAAATGCTTACTTGGGTAAGTGTATACCAAGTTATATTACCTTACCGAATGAATATGGTAAGTACCAAAAATCTTACCCCGTAAGAGCGAAGCAAAGACCGAGAGTCTTACCCGGTAAGTGAGGGCAATGACTATTACCACGGTCAGCTCTTACCAGGTAAATTATTGTATAAAATTCCATTTTTGTTGACTAAAATCTTACCCGGTAAATAAATAATAGTATTGAATTTTATCGGTAAATGCTTACCGGGTAAGTATTTGATAAACTGCCCCTTACAAAAGTTTGAAAGCAATGTGGCAACTATAAGAATACTAATTAGTAACAAAATTGGTGACTAACCTTGTTGTTTAATGACAAATTTTTGGGTGCTCACTCTTCGTCTAAAAATCCGTCACTAATTTGTATTAGTAACCAAATACAAAAGTGATCACTAATTAAAACAAAATTAGATTGTGTAGGGTCGGTCGCAGTTTAAATATTGTATTACAAAGTGATTTGCGGTCCCAAAGTGATAACAATAAATCACAGTGCAAACTGACCCAATACAACAAATGCGGATTAACGAGATCTAGATGTTGTATATTACGGTCTAACAAATCATACTGATCCACAAATATAAAATTAGCAGTTATATCAAGTATACGATCAAATATCAAAACGACACGTAAATCGAGAAAACGAGATTTAACATGGTTTCACTATCGAGGTGATAGTGTACAGAGAGATAATGGCAGCCACATTGTTTTTCTTCATGTTGGAAAAATGGCGTGCTGATGATAATGATGTAGGTTGCCACTAGTAGATTCAATAGATTGGCCGGCAAACCTATGCCATACAAGTCACCAATTTGAGACTTCAAGTTGGTGATATCATCGTAGCTGTCAAACATGTGTCTTAGGTTTTATTATCGTGCTTCCATCACTTGTATCATGTTCTTGAGTGTTTGCATAACAACCTAAAAAACTTGCCAAATTAAATTTTTCAACAGATTGACCATTTTTGACGACTAATCTAGTCAATAAACCAATAAATTTAGTGACAAAGTTAGTAACCAGTATGAAGTTTGATGATAGCTCCATTCGTGGTTGTTAACGTTCATTATGGTTGTTAGGGGCCATTTATCAAGCTTACTCGATTAAGCGCTTACCAAGTAAGCATTTACCAGATATAATCACCACCCTCGCTTTTCTTATCTCTTAATTAACATTCTCGGTTGTTAAAATTGATTGTTGGTAAAGGTCTTTTATATGGACATTTATGGGTAAGAGTTCTCTCACTCACTTTTACCGGGTAAGATTATAGTTCCCTATTATGTTTCTTACTTTCCAAGACATAATTTTTGTCTTCCTCCTATCCACCCACTAAGGGGAGTGACATCCCATAAACAATTACTTGGTAAGTGTTCTCCTTAGTGACCAAAATAAAGCTAGTTAACCACAAGTGTGGTGTCTGATTGGTTTGAGCTTGACTTCAAAGGTCAAAAGTACCAGAAGGTCACCGGTTCAAATCTAAAGATGAAAAAAAATCTCCTTGTGGCCACGGAGGTTCAAATACGGTGACTCCGGACTATCTGCAAAGCAGGTGATCGCCCTGAGGTTATTCGGCTCGCATAGCGGGTTGGATATCTAGGTTAATTAAAAAAAACTAGTTATTTCAAAATATGAAGAAAAAAAAATAAAAATTGTTCCTAATTTCTACTATAATTGTAGTGCTTAAAATTAAAAACCTACTGGTTTTTGTAACAATGAAAATCAAATATATGAATTCCGTTTGCATAAGATAAAAAATTTCGATCAAAATTAAAACCAAAGACGCCATTACTATGTCAACTTATTATCATTAAAACACTTAACATATTTAACCACTGTTTGTGATTGCTTTTTTAAGTTGCTTATTAACTTATTTCGATGTGGTACCGATAATAAGGAGATTTTAGTGTTTGGATGGAGGAAAAAAAAATGCTTATATCAGTTTGGCATCGGTAATAAGGAGTTTCTAACAAGTTACTTCCTTCTAACTTATTTACTTATTCCGGTATGGTACCGTTAATAAGAAGTTTTAGTGTTTGGATGAGAAAAAGAAAAGAGTATCTTATCTATTTTATCAGGTGTGGTACCGCTATAAGCTAATCCAAACATTTTTCATAAAACTCAAGTTTACTATCATATAAATTGATAAGCACTTTTATAAAAAAAAAAAACATAAGTTGTTTTAAATAAACAATTTCAAACACCCTTGAAACAGAAACAAAACAGTACACTCTTTTAAGAATTTTATGTATTGTGTTTTAAAACCAAAACCAAAAGCAAACGTCCAAATGCCTTTAATCATACCCCCCTCAATCTAGATACTCTAAAATCAAAATAAAATTTCACCAATCATATATATGCTAACTATACCTACTTGTAAAAAAACCTCTATGATTTAATAACAATTAATAATTAACTTGTATTAATGTAACAATTACTTGTGCCTAGCTTTTAGTTTATATATTTACACTTGAAAAACTTGTACCTATATGCTATAGTGTACAAAAGGATAAATAAATGATTTTATTCCTTTGTGTATCAACATATTACAAACATAAACCCTAATCACCTCTTGAACTAAGCCGGTTTAGCTAAGAAGAAGGAGATGAGAGAGCTAGTGAGAGAATTGAGAGAGAATACAAAATGAAATGACATATCTAAACAAAAAAGGCTATTTATATTTATGAAGAAAATTGCAGAAGACACCCTAAAGAATCTTGGAATTGCTCCGCTACCCTTGAAGTATCCATATAGTTGAGGCGCAGTCCCTTAGTCCTTTAACATTCTTTTATTTGCAGAAACATTTCTTATCAACTATAACATGACACAAAAAGAACAAAAGTTAAGATTGTTAAAGATTTAAAGCATATTTTAACACCCGCCCTCAATCTTGATTTTTGAATAAGTCGTCATCCTTAACTTTGAACATGCAAAGTTATGATGATTTACACCAAGGGCTTTTGTGAAAATATTAGTTGGTTGTTCAGAAGAGACTATTTTTACCACTTTTAACAACCCTTTATTGATGTTTTCATTTGATAAACGTCAATTTCGATATGCTTTGTATGTTCAGTGAGTACAGGATTATTGGCAATTTGGATAACAGATTTATTATCACAGAACAAGTAAATTCTTTATATTTAGATTTGATAGAATTTTAAGAACCCAGATATTTCACATGTTGCAGTGGCCATGGCCCGATATTCAGATTCGGCAGAAGAGCGAGAAACAGTATTTTGTTTCTTACTTTTCCACGAAAATATAGAATTGCCAAGAAAAAGACAGAAACCAATAACATAGCGTTTAGAGGAAAGACACTTACTCCAATCAGCATCAACATAAACAGTTAAACAAAAACTTTCAGATATGGTAAAACTAACATATTTAAGAATTCTAAGAGCAAGATTCAAATGAGATTATCTAGGAGCATTGCATGAATTGACTAAGACAATAAACAGCAAAAACAATATCAGGTTTAGTAGCTAAAAGATAAATCAATCTACCAATTAACTTTGAAAACCTGTATAATAAGATAAATGAGGATCTTTAGAACTACAAGAATCTGTTACAAGTAAATTCATGTCCATGGGAGTATTACAAGGTTTACACCATAAATATCTAAAATCATTTAGTAACTGAAGACAACATTTTTTTTGAGACATGCAAATTCCATTGACACAATCTAAAATTTCAATTCCTAGAAAGAACTTTAGTTTTCCTAAATCTTTTATAAGAAACTTATTTTTCAAGAATTCTTTTACATTGTTTATTTCACTTTGATTTTTTCCAGTTATAACAATGTCATCGACATACACTACGAGAACAAAAAAAAAACATTATCAAGACTTTTAGTAAACAAAGAATAATCACTAATGCTTTGAATGAAACTATGATCATTTAAGCAAGAAAAAAGATTAGTATACCACTGGCGAGGAGCTTGCTTTAAACCATACAGAGATTTATTTAGTTTACGTACACGCTTATCCTCTAGATTATAATAACCCTCAGGTAACGTCAATAAATTTCCTCAATCAAATTCCCATATAGAAAAGTATTATTAACATCTAATTGAAAAAGACTCCACTTGAACTGAATAGCTAAGGCTATAATACAACGAACAATAACCATTTTGACAAGAGGAGAAAAGATTTCTTCATAATCGATACCTACTCTTTGACTATACCTCTTAGCAACAAGCCTGCCTTTGTATCTTTCTATTTCCCCATTAGATTTATATTTTATTTTATAAATCCACTTACATCCTATAGCTTTCCTACCAAGAGCTAAGTTTGTAATTACCCAAGTACCATTTTTATGTAATGCTTCCATTTCATCATTCATAGCATTAATCCAATTGTTATCTCTACAAGCCTCTTGAAAGGTTTTGGGTTTAACAGATTTATTTAAACTAGACACAAAACACAAATTATCAAAAGAAAGGAAAGAATAATTAACCACCTTTTCTAAACCATATTTAACTTTTCCTTCAACAATAAAGTCATCAAACTTTCTAGGAAAAACAGATGCCCTAGTAGACTTTCTAGCAGTCTGGGTCAAGGTTGATGGTAAAACTCTGAGTACCCTCAGAGATGAGACCCAAGGATAGAGATTCATTGTTACCTCCATTAATTTCCTCATACTGCATTTCAGCATCACGCTGAGTACTAGCAGTCGTGTTAGAGCTACTCAAAGGCTGCCAACTGGTAACTCCTTCAAGGTTACGTTCATGAGAAGAACCTTGACTATTTAAGCTTCCTAGAGACTGCCTATTGGCAGCTCTAGTTGCTCTACCTAGTACATCATGGTTACTAGGGGCAGAGGATGAATTA